TCTTCTTCTTTTTTGGAATATATGAAACAAAACTTATTTATTTTATGGCATATCAAGCTATGGGAAATTGGGAGCCCCAGCTTTTTATGATGCACAGAACTTTTCCTCATACCAAACGGATATCAGTTCCCAATTTTTACCGTTCAATGGAATAAAGACAAATTATTAAAATGATGTGACTGCAATTTTCTTTAATTTTCTTTGTACAAGTAAGTATGGTTACATTTTATTATCTGTTATGGGTTTAAAATTAGCAAGCTATTGCATATATACATATACATAACATTCATACTACTAGATATAAAATATTCCGGCAAGAAAAGATATTATATATAAAATAGGTGTTGAAAACGGCATAAGAATTTTTTTTTCATATTAATTTGAGAATATGGCCATCTAGATGTGGGGTTAATCCAACCTAGCATATAATATAATTTTGCACTAGTAATTGATATGAAAGCTAATATATTTCTATATTGATTTTATTTTATTTTATTCCTGTGAAACGTGTCTTCGGAAATAAAATAATCGATATATTGAATTGATATGTAGGAGAATATACAATCTTTAAAAGAAAATAACGTGTGTGTATTCAATAATGAAAAAACAATAGAGATACAGTAAAAGGTGTACAATTTTTTTTATTTGGAAATAATCAATATCAGTATATTAATCATTGATATATATATATATATTACCAAAAACAATATAATACAAATTTATTAAGATTTATAAAAAAAATCTAATTGTTCGTAAATAATTATTAATGCTCACAGAGACATCAAAAGCTTCTTTTCTTTCTCTCGCACTTGAATAGTATTGAAGTCCATGATTAAGCTCTCAAAATTTATGTCCGATGCATTGAGGGTAGTCCACTTCATGTTATAGTTTAAACTTTAAAATATATACGTTAATTAATTAACACGATAAGTTCAACTTAATTATTTCTATTTAAACCTCCTGCCTCTAAATTAATTTTTATTAAACATGAATATATAAGAACACAAGCATCAAGTATTTCCTAAGTTGCACAAATGTCGTTTTCAAAATAATGATCTCAATAAACAATGAGAAGATGATTTGTAATATTCCTTCTCATTATATATAACTTATAAATTTTTAAATAAAAGGAACAAAATTTTTTTTTCTCATTATATAAATAAATAAGTGAATGCATGGCAACATATATAAAAGAACTAATAGCCCACGCATATATCGATGGCATTGCTGAATTGGAATATACAGATCTATAAGGTATACAATCCAGATCTTGTATTATATATGTAAATTATAATAATTTTTAATTGTAATGATCTGATTTATGATCATACAGGCACATATAATGACAGACATGCTCAATATTCTAAAATAAGAATAAGGATGTTTGATCCGCATTAATAGGGCCATAGTGTAACGCAAGTTGTACAAGGGATTGTATGCTAATTAGAATTTTAAAATTATCAATGTCAAGAAAATCCATACATTATCACTGTTTTAACGTTGACCTTAGTTGTCCACTGTCAACACTTACAGTGAATCTTTTCTTCGTTCCCTCACAAACAATAAACTCATTTAAATAAAAATTAAAAGTTTGGCACACTACCATCAACTATCAACTAGCTATAATAATAATATACTCCTTCGGTATTTAATATAGGATCTAATTGTTGAGTTGATTTTAGTCCTAAATATAAGACCTATTTTTTATATTTATCATTTTTTTCTAAATTACCTTATGGATACTCTTCAACCATAATCAAGTAGAAGAGGGAGAGAGGATATTAACGAAGATGATTATGGTATTTTAGGAAAAAAATGTCATATTTCTTATAATTAACTAACTCATCTAACTTTCTTACTCTAATCAAATTAGTTAAATAGGTCTTATATTAAAGACTGGAAGAGTATAACAAAAGAATTCCCTTTAATTTTTTGTTAGTGGGCTAAAAGAAAGTCTCGTATGCTTCATAACACTTATTCAAACTTTATTGCTAATATAAAATTTGTAAATATCCTTACACGATTTTTAAATTTGACACTTTGAGATCTTATTATAAGAAGACTAAGTACAGTTAAGAATGGAATGGGTCCCAATCAAATATGGAGAAATTTTCTTGGAAACAAAGTCACATTAACACATACCAAAACACAATAAAAAATGTTTTTTTCAACTTTCATTTTTCAAACAACTTTTTATGTACCAACAAAAGCATCAAAAAGACATCAGAAATGCTGGACTTGAAGAAAGTGGAATTATATTGGGCAAGTATAAAAGAAGGGGAAGTAGAAGTAGTCAAGAAACTCGTGAATACATAAAGAAAGTGAATTATCTTTATGGTTTGCTTTTGGTTGCATTTTGATGATTCGAGTCACGGTGCATGCATGCATTGGCCTACACATGCATGCCCCCATGCATGCACGTGCGTCGAATAAAAAAGCTTCTCATCCTCCCACCAAACTCACTCCATAACATAACATAATGCTTTCCTTTCTCCCCACCAACCACTCATCATTTAATTCTTTTTCCAATTATTATGTATTTTTTCATATTTTCTTTCATATTCATCAAAAGCATCTCTATTTGTTAATTAGAACTATAAACTTGACTCTTGTCAATTCTTTAAATTACTTATCTTTAATATAACGACCGGCTGCAAGTAATCAAGCTTATTAAGAAGCGTCCAATTAAGTTCAAGAATACGCCACTAAAATTAATGGATAACATATAACTCAATCACTCAAAATTCAACGATTATAATTAATACATCTGTTGATTAATCATTTTATTAACTGAAAAAAGAATCAAAGATGTGGCTTGTCAAATTCATGAGTTGATTTTCCGAGTTTAATATTTTTATGTTTTGTGCTTGCAAAAACATGTTGCCTTGCTTTTAAATTCATGCTAAATGTAAACTTGGTTAAACTTGCAAGTTCATTCACCAAGTTTATCAATTTCATATTTGTAGCTTACAAAATCGTGTTAACTTGCTCATAATCTCATGCTAAATTTTATAATTTAATTATGTTAAGTGATTTTATATATGAATTTCATAAAAATTTATTTGTTCAATATGGTAAATTATGAATGTTGATAGATTTAATTTCAATTATTTGGATTTAAAATATATTTAAATAAAATTTTTGTCATTGTTTATATTGTAATTATTTAATTATATATTTTTAATATCAATTTATTGATAAAAACAAACTCTTACGAGTTTATGATTTGCGTTAATGTGGATTTTACAAATAAAAGGCCAAATCTCCGTTAGATTTAATTAACATTATTAAAGAAATATTAAAAATGGCTACCAAATCGAACCATACAATAATAAGGAAATACTTGAGATAATAACAAAAATGCCAAAACCTTAATGAAATAATCAAAACAATTAAATTGGGAAAAAGAAATATAGAAAAGAAAGGAGGGAGGTGGAGGGGGAACAAAGCCCGTGATTCCAGAAGGAAAGAAGAGATAAAATGTTATCTTTTTGGGTTTTGAGGTCTGCATCGCAGACAGCAAAGCATCACACTTCACCCTCACTCACACACACACAGGCATACAAATGGATCATTTCATTACTAACCACTCCTTTCTTTTCATACATATATACCTCCTCAATTTGGCCAATTCTTTAAGTTGACTCACAAATTTGAAGTTTAATGCAAATTTTTTTCCTTTATACTTATATAATATAAAAGTTACCGGTGTCTAACTATCAATACTCAAAATTCTTAAAGGTCAAATTTTGTGAATAGGGAAAAAAAGAGTCAAATTGAAAGAGGTTAGTTCCAATTAAAGTTGGACCACATTCAAATTCAGATTATTCATTATGTAGTACTTCCTTTGATTTTAAATATAGGAGCTAAATATTAAGAAAATTTAAATTAGTTATTTGTGAAAAATGTATATTAATTTTCTTAAAATACCCTTTTAAATTATTTGATTAGATAATATTATCTTGATGAAAAACTCTGTTAATAATTGTAACTAATAAAAAATATTTAGGAAAAAAATTGTAAATTTAAAAGACAAGCATGCATTTAAAATCAAAGCAAACCTCTCTACTAGTTTTTACACTTAGGACGGGAAGGAGTAATAAGTATCAAATATTATTGGAAAAATGTTTCTTAATGTCTTATGGAATCAATCATTTTGTCCATTAATTTAGTTCAAATATGCATAAGAATATGTATTTTGTATTTATATGCAGTACGATTGATGAGTTGTTTGACATAATATAATTATTCAATAATGATAATCTTTGTCTTCATTATATGGTATGTGTTTTAAATTTCGATGAGAACAATTTTAAACAATATTTTTAAAGCTACCGATTATTAAACGAGTATATAAAAGGATTTTGGTCAATTTTTATTTTGAGTGCTATGGATTGAGTCAATTTTCAATTTATCAGTTTATTTCTGTTTCAATGGGCCAGTCTATTTGATTTACTCACCATAATATATAGTCTCAACCCTCAATTATCCTTCACGTAAGATAGACTGATTAACAGAGGTTATTATACGTAAATGCATTAATTAACTGTGAATTACAAGTGAGAATCTATGAATGCAAGTACAGTTAAAATGGATAATAATAAGAAAAAGAACCTATGGTTTTCTGAGACAGGCCCGGGTTTTTAGGGAGTGAGATCTAATCGTTTTATTCTTATTTTTATTCTATAAACAAGATGACTCACTGTTTGAATATAATTCTTATCAAGAAAGAATCAAAATTAATTTATGTGTATGTTATATTCTTTCTTCAAAATAATACTATTTTTTTGTACTATATATATAAAATATGCAGGGTCCAACTGATAAACTTAAAATACTTTTCTTATTCAAGTTGGAAACAAAAAAAGTTTGGTGTCACATGACATAATTTATATAAGTATATTCCTTGCATTCCATGACCCATGCATATTTAAAACATATTTCCATAATCAACAGATATGCTCACGATATCATCTTCCCTACATTTCTCCTTCATTTACTTTTCTTCCCAGAATCACAACCCAGAAAAGGAGAGAGAAGGTCTTCTAAGTTATTATAGCTTCTAAGTCAAGATCGATCAGCTAGCTGGCTAGATACCTAGGGTTTTTGCTATTCATTCACTGTTCATCTATAATTTCGATTGTAGAGATCGATTGACCATGGTTTTCTTTTTCTCTCTCTAGAATCCTGATGATACATATTTTCCAGAGATAGAGGAGGAGGAAGAGCAAAATCAGCGAAAGTGGACTGATCATCGTATCAAGATCTTCAATATTCTTATTATTAGTCTTTCTTCAGCTTCCACTCCACGGAAGATGGAATTCTGAGAAAAGTATATAGCAGAAACTAGATTGCAGATTGAAGATAGAGATCATGGAAGGAAGAAACGAAGGCTCGGAATGCTCCAAAACAAGCCCTTCTGGTTATAATAATTTCAACGAATTAGAAGAAGCGTGCGAGAGCGAGAGCAAGACGAATGAAGAAGAAGAAGAAGAAGAAGTTAAGAAAAATATGAACAATAATGGAGGAAGCTCAAGCAATAGCACAGTGGAAGAGACGACGGAGAAGAAGCCGTCGGTGAGGCCTTATGTGAGATCGAAGATGCCAAGGCTCCGATGGACTCCTGATCTTCATCTTCGCTTTGTTCACGCCGTTCAAAGGCTTGGAGGAGAAGAGAGTAAGTTCAGAATCATATTTTCTTCAATAATTTCTTAATTTTAATTCATATGTTAATTTCTGTATATTTAATTTATTGGTCTCTATATTTCTATATGTTGGTGTAGGAGCAACACCAAAGTTGGTTCTCCAATTAATGAACATCAAAGGCTTGAGTATTGCTCATGTTAAGAGTCATTTACAGGTAACTCATATATAGAATGGTTTCATTTTTTTTATTCAATATGGCCTTCCCTTAATTTGAAGCAGTAATTATTATTAATACTCTAAAATTCAAGATATTATACCCTAAACTGTATTTGAAAACTTAGATTATTAATTGTTTGTGTATAATTTCCTCATCTCTGCGTATTTTCTTATGCTAGATGTATAGGAGCAAGAAGGTAGATGATCCAAGCCAAGGTACAACAAGATTTTCTTGTTAATTGTAATTGTTGCAGTTATAATAATAAGTTGATTAGGGTTTTTGATCAATTCAAAGTCTCTAATAAAAACATAATTTTATATGACAGTATTGGCTGATCATAGGCACCTTGTAGAAAGTGGAGACAGGAATATCTACAATCTCAGCCAAATTCCCATGCTTCAAGGTTATAATCCCTCCCAAAGTTCAACCTTCAGGTACATATGTGTAATTATCTCAAGTTAATTAATGTAAAGTTTGAGGCTGAAACACTAGTATTAACGCACAAAAAAACACATCTATTATTCAAGTATTTAACTTCTTTTTCAGTTACAGATATGGATATGGGGAAGCTTCTTTGGGTGTGTATGACCAAATGGTTCACAGCCCTTTCATGGGTCGGAGTCTGATTGATCATGAAGCCGGGTCGTCTGGGTTTCACGGCATTTTCAAGGTGGACCCTTCAAATTTTCTGAAGCAATCATCGTCAACAAACAAAATCTATGAGCCAAAAGAAAATCATCAAGTTCTCTCATTTGGTGGCCACCACGAATCCATATACAATGGAACCAGATTGAACCAGAAAAACACTGATCTAAACTCATTCACCCTTATAGGAGCCACAAGAACAACAGAAGAACGGCTTCTTCCTATTATGAAGGATCAACAGGATCAAACAAAGACGCTGAAAAGAAGGGCTTATGATCATATGGATCAGCTTCATCATGATCATCTCGATTTGGATCTATCACTGAAGTTAAATTCAAGGGTTGATATTGATAATGCACAGAAGAAGAACCGTTTGGAAGAGAATGATGAAATCGATAGTAATCTCTCACTGTCTTTGTATTCTCAAATTTCCTCGTTTTCTGATACTAATAATAATGCTAGGAACAGCTCAAAGGAAGGAAAACAGAGTGATAAGGAGAAAGCAAGGAGGGAAAGGGCCAGTACACTGGATCTGACTATATGAATAAGACAAATTCTAAGTGAGATCTTGAGGTACTTGTCCAAAACGATGCATTATTACTAATTTTTACGACTATTTTCTAATATTCATGTGACAACTATATATATATTTTTCTTTTTCTTTCCTCATCTTTTGTATATGGAATCGTCGTTATCAATTAGTTATGATCAGGTATTTATTATGATAGAATCATATACCATAAATAAAAATAACCTTTTGTTTTAAGATCCCGCAATTAAGTATTGAATTGTGATTATCTAGCTAGCTTATTAGTGTTACAGTCTTCTGTACTTAAGATGTTGATTAATGCTAGATAACTATTTGTTCATTCGGGAAATAATGTAACTACTAATCTGAAAGTTTTGTTTGAATAATGTAATGTAAACGAAAAGAAATGTGCAAGTGAAAGTGAAAATGAGAGGAGGAAACAAATTTTACTAATTAACAACCAAAGCAAAATTTTAATTTTATGTATAAGATAAGCACGCTTCCAAAATGAATATTGTTTTCAACAATAATCACTGTTCTTTTCTGGTTTAATTCCTTACACATGTTCTTTCTCTTTTGCCACATCAACAAAAGTTTTCAAAAAATAAAAAGGAATAAATGTCCCGCGTGTTATTTCCCTTTTCCCTTTCATATTCTCCACAAATTTAAGTTTGTAAACGCTTGGTGGGGAAAACACCCACACACACGTCGCCAATATAGTTTTATAAATTATTCACACACTATATAAACCTATGAACCCAGACCAGTCATCCCATTGCCAGAACTAGTTATAAAATAAATAGTTTTAGGTAGAAATATCTGGAATATCTGATGAAGTTCACATGATGGCAAGCTTAGATTAATATTAATAATATATTAATGTGAAGATTATTCAATGTTAAATTGTAATATCAAGTGGAGGGAACTAGATAGGAAGGTAGTGAGGGTAACAAGTAGCTAGGTACTGATGATATGATCAGAAGCATTTTTGTTTGTTTGTGTAAATTAATGTGTGATCTGTCTGCTGCACTGTTGCTTATTGTTTTCATGGTAAATGACAAGTGACAGCCATATCAAAAGGCTAAATTTGGAATTATAAATAAATAATATTAAAAATAAATAATAATTTATATGATTTTTTTTATGTATTAAAAGGTAATTTTTTTAAAATAAAATAAAAAGATTATCCCCCAAAAAAAAAACCAGTCACGTGTGGTTAATTTGAGCAAAGCCTAAACAAATCACATGAAAAGGCTGGCCCAATTCTAACACCATAAAGCAACTGCGTTCCAAATAACTATAACCTGTAGCAAAAAAGAACATGCAGCACGAAATTCCTCCATTCCCATCGTCCATTATGCACCAGCATACAGACTGTCATATAGAACCAGAGCGGTGGCACCGGTGGCCAAGGACCTTCTGAAAGTGAACGATTATATTATTTGAAACCATGAAAAACACGCCACCACGAGATCTTGCACATCAATACAAAATATCTTGCGATATATTACCTCTGCTCTTAAATATAAAAACTAATTGACTAATTTGAATAGATTAAGAAAATAAGTTAAGTTAGTTATTTATGATAAATAGGTGCTGTCTTTTCTGAAATACAATCAAGTGTATTGGCTAGAACTACTATTATTAGAAAAATTACTTTCAGAAAAAATGCATAAATATAAAAGACAAAATGGATTGGGGTCTTATATTTAAAATCAAATTAAAAGTTAAACGAGATCTTATATTAATGCCCGGAGGTAGTGTGTGTGTGTGTGTGTGTATTGCCACAATTAGCTATAGGTAATATGCATTAACTAATGAAAATAAGTTGAATTATTCACAGTTCTGTGAGAATGTGTGTGCGCGTAAAGAAAATATGATGCAAAAGAATCTGACATTTTTAAATAGTTTTTCTCTAAATATATTATGTATTATTGATATTGATTTTTATAATTACAGAGACAATCCAAGTTGATTAAAAAAAATAGCGTCTAATTCTATGAAAAAAAAATGTATTGCAAACACAAAGCATTCCTGTGTGTCTTACAGTTCTGCAAATATATGACATCCAAAGTTAATGTATTGATGACTAAAATCCTTAATCTTTCAGAGATGTATTAAACTTTTGTTGAAGTGTTCTCTTGCCCAAAAACCTAAACTTTCGTATGGATTATTTAAAATGATGTTCTGATATGAATTATTAGTATAAAATATAAAATTTATTGTAAGCCTCACCATTCACAAAATATAAATAATGTAATTCATCTTAAATTCTGCAATAATATCTGAAAGAATACCTAATTGTGATCTTTACGAAAACTTCTAGGCTATTCTCTCTTCAATTATTTTAATTTGTGCCCTCAATGGACCTATATTTCTGGCAAATGCAGAGACGCCAATGTCTTTATTTTTTTTAATGAAGAAAGAATTCATTGATGAATCAAAATATTTACAGAGAGGCTAGCCAAAGGATTACAAAAACAAGACTTGGCCACCCAACAATATAAGCCTTTATATTTTGAAATTCCAATTAGATGAACGAGATTTTTAAGATACATATATTATAGCAATAAATCTCATTTATTTCTAACAATCGCTGCAAAATTTTACAGCGGTTTTGACAACATTTAAAGCGATTTTAGATAACCGCTATAAAGTACTTTGACACACCTATTTTAGTATCGCTTTTAAAAATCTGCAGTCGTAAAAAAATAACTACTGCAAAACATTCTTTTTTTTGTAGTGAGATTTGGAAACCTAATTTCATAAATTATCTCTAAATATTTACATAGGATATATTTCATATCTATTAAAGTCAACTATTTTGATCAATGCCCGTTGATTCAATTGCCTTGCTCGATTAAGTCAAAATCCAATTTCACTTTCAAAAACTAAAGAAAATAATCCAAAAGAAGTATAAATTTTCCAATGATGACTGGTTGAGCAATTCTTTTCCCCCCTATATTCTAACTTTGTATACGCATTATTCTTATACATGTAACTATTTACAATTATATATTGGCTAAATAAATATCGTGATGATAGATTATCAGCTTACTATCTTAAGGGTAATCGTGGTAAATATTAAATTATTTATATTTGATTATTAAGTTATTAAATTTAATTATTAATATTTTTTTAAAAATTATGGTATATTTAACATATAAAATTAAAGGAAAATTGCAAATAAAGACTTCCAATATGTGAAATTGTGATTTGAAACCCTCAATTTAAAAAATAGAAAATAAAGACCCGATCCCATATTGCAAATATGATCTTGGTGAAATGTTTAAAATGTCCCTCAACCAAATTGTGATTTGGTCTATTGAAGTTGTCATTCGTTAAAGTGAACTTGTTATTTTCTATAGTTAACTTGTCATTTGGCATACCCTCACTTAAGTTGTCATTTGGGCTACTGAAATTGTCATTCGTTAAAGTGAATTTGTCATTTCCTATAGTCAATTTGTAATTTGGCTGACAGCTATTTTAGACATTTCTCACATTTCATATTTGCAATTTGGGACCAAGTGCTCTAAAACTATTTTCTAAATTTAGGGTCCCAAATCACAATTTCACATATTAGGAGGTTTTTATTTGCAATTTTCCCTAAAATTAAAAATATGTTAACGTTATTACTATCAATTTCATCATGAATCAATGCTTTGACCGGGCTATAAATTATTGACCTATAGTCAAAGACCATTAAAAAAAACAGGAAAAATTTCAATAAATCCCTCAATAATCAATTAATATCAATCAACCCTCAAAAAATTTTGAAATTTCACCACACCTCCTTGACCAGGATCCCTTGTGTGAGAAGACAAAAATACCCTTACTTTATTTGAGTTGCAAATCATTGAATTTGTATTGCAAATTGCCGAATTCTCATTGCAAACCGTTGAATTCTCACTCTAAACAACTCAAATTTGGTTATTTACAACAAGATTTCAGCAATTTGTAACATAAATTCAGCGATTTACAATTCAAACAAAATAAGGGTATTTTTGTCTTCTCATACAAAAAATTTTGGTCAAGGGGTGCAGTAAAATTTTAGAAATTTTTGAAGACCGTCTAATATTAATTTGTTATCAAGGGAGTTTATTAAAATTTTAGCTTGATTTATAATTTTTATTCAATTTTTAGAGTTAATTTTACCCTATTATATCAAATATGAAATGAGTACCTTTAGATTACACTGTTACGTTATTGTATAAATTACCAGTTCTTAATATAAGAGCTAAATAACCAATTTGAGAATATTAAAAAATTATTTAAGTTGATTATTTATTACAAATATGTATTGATTTTCATAAATTATCCTCTTCAATCATTTGCATTAAATAATTAAAATTATCCTTAGTTAAAACCCTTACAATCAATAAGGATATTTTAAAAATAGATGAAAGACAGTGAATTAAAGCCTCATATTGATGACTAAATCCAATCTCTCAATTAACTTTTATATTAAAAATAGAGTAGTACTTGATCATGGCCCTTAATTATAATCAAAATATTATATATAAGAACTGACCGAATCATAGTTAAATATAAAATTCTTTCCAATTTGAACTTCCAGCCTATACTTTCTGTTCTTTAAATATCAACAGAATTCAATTATATTTATTATAAATAGAAAACATAATATAAATGGAAACTTCGAATTATGAGCTAGTAAAATTTGAAGGCGATGCAGCTTGTTTACATGCAGTGTATGCCCCTGCGGAAAAGGTTGAAGCAAACTCATGTCAAAAGTCAAAATTACTCAAACTGATAAAAACAACGTGGTAGAATGACAGCACCAATTTTTTTTTTTAAAAAAAACAAAAATTATAGACAGGATTGCAACGAGAATATTAAAGCAGCATAAACCAAAAATTGAATAGGAGTGAATTAAGACAATAGGTTTGATTTCAATATTTCGTCTATAGTAAACTATTACATTTGAAAGTTGAACAAAGAACGAAGGGGTTTTGTACATGCTGAAAAATTCAATTCTCCACATAAATTTTCGAGAAACAGAGCAATTTGAGCTAATCCAACCGCTCAAAATCTTGGGATGCTTGGCCTGAGGACGACATTGGAGATGGGGCGTTCAAGCTTCCCATTCCAGAACCAAACTTCTCCCATTTGGTTGTTACTGAGACTGCACTGCCATTCTTGCTAAAAGGCTTGGAGTTTCTCTCCTTCAGAGAATCTAGCGTATCAACGAAGTTCTGCACCCTACGTACCTGAACAGAGGTTGTAAAGCAGATGTTCAGACCTTCAAAGGCAATAAGTTTAATTATGCTACTCAAACCCCACTCAATTTGACATGGTACCAGAGGCGTGGTTTGTAAATGGTAAACTAGTTTGCATGGATTTAAAATCATCATGGACCAAAATGAAAATAAAAATCCGTATATGAAGGACCGACATAGAATTTGTCATATCCATTGGGAAGCAAATACACTTCCCAAAAACCAATGTGTTAATGTAATGAACACAGGCAAATAGAAGAATACGAAGTTCACACCCACTAACATTATTCTAACAGTAAATAAACGCATCCCTTAATGCATACAGGATAAATGGCTACTCTTACTGCATCAGGCTTGCCTACTCAAAGATATCTTGCTCTGCATATGAAATCCTTCAGGTCCACCCAAAACGAGTCACTATTCTCCTTGTCTAAGCAGCTTAGAGCCGCTGTGGCTCAAGTAATCCTCCAAAACCAATACATAGTTCAACATTCTCCATTTTCATAATTTACTACATCACGGGGGTGTAAATGTACCATTTTGCATTCTTAGTCTTGCCAATTATAACTCAACCTTATCAACTATATGCCCATATTGTTCAATTTTTTTGGAATAGATTTCATGTTTGCTTCAATTCTTCAACTTTTTTTGCAGTTATATTGACAGCAGATAAGGATAAGCAAATCTAATATTCCATGTCTGACTAACATATGCTTAGTTCCTAACTTAACATTCTTTCCTTATTCCTTACTCCCAGCTGTCTAGTCCATTCCACCAATTCCCAGAAAACAAAAACCTTGTAAACACAGATACTATGAAGTTCAAAAATAGTTTTTTAATATACAGGCAATTACACTATTGAACCATACTGAATCAGTCTAAACTTGTCTAAGGTAACACTTGATGCATCATAGCACATATCACTTCACAAAAATCAATGCACAGGATTCCACTCAGTTTTATAACTCAAATTACCACATAAGAAATAAGAGATGGCATGAATAAGAAAAAGACATCAATAACAAACAAACGGTAAAAACTTTCAGATTAGGAAATACTACCTCAGCTTTTCTCTGCATCTTTGCTTCACCTTCAGCTTCAATAGAATCCAGTTTCAGCAACTGCCTCATAAGCAACTCAGTTGATGTAAGAAACTCTTTCTCTGAGACCTTGGTTCCCCCATTAACAGCCACTTCCAAGGCAGCCACCTGCAAATTTTAGAATACAACAAACTGTTATTCTCTATGTAATATGATTTTTCAATAAATAGCTATGTCAAAAACAAGGCTCACCCTATCAGAAAGCTTGTCCACCTCTACCCTGACTCCAGCAACTGCCTGAGAAGCTTTTAACATCTCATTTTGTTTTCTCATTTCCTCAAGTTTCCTCTCTTTGCTAGCAGCATCCTCCAAAAGCAACATCTTTGACTTGTCCTTTACACCTCCCAAGTGCAAGTGCTCTTCGTTTTGTTTTTCTTTTCCTCTGAAGAACAGTCGTTGCTCATTAGGCTCTAAACCTGTTTTGTGTGCTAGTAGTTTCTTGGCATCCACTGTCATTGAAGACCCAATCAAGGTAAATAGGTATAGCAATAAACCATTGATATTAAAGTTAGGTATGTAAATTATTATAACTATAATAATTTTACCCTTGATCATCTTTTAAGAATGAGTAGAACAAAGGTGCAGTTAGACGGTTGTGGTTCTAAAACTTCAAGTATATAATAAGGGTTCTCGATGATAGCTTTCCAAGATTTACAGTGAGAATTATGTAAATCTTAGTATCAACATGATTCTAAGATCCCGAAGAAGGAATAATATCTGCTCGATGATCTGTTTGGAGATAAAAATATGGAAGTTTGGTTGACCATATAATGTGTATATGTACCAGAAACTCTGGTTGAGCTTATGAATTTTAAGAATATTGAATGAATGAACTGAAGTTTCGTGGTCCATCATGGTAAGCAATACTTAACCCATTTACCTAGATCAATTTAAAGCAAATGTCAGTCTTTTCAAGCAAATATGATATTTTAAGTATAATTTTAAAGCTTATATCGACCTTCATACAAGCAAAATCGGTTTTCAAAACGGTATATGAATTGAACTTCTAGAAACATAGGTCACATCGCAAAATTCACATCATACATTCACCAAAGCACAACGATCCCAATTTCCGGAGGTTCCAAACCCTTCAGACACAAAATATGCGGCCAATGTGGCACACAACTTCATTGAAAGGCTTCAAATAGCAGCCTCCGAACCAATCACTATAATCAAGTCCAATAAGCAAGTTCAATTGAAAGCCATGCTTCAAATTCACGAACAATCTAGGAGGCATCGTAAACACAAGAGAAGATACTTACGGAAAGTAGATTCAGCTGGGAGATAAACCTCATGCTGAGAGGAACCATAGGAGACATTGATCTTGATCATGGGCCCAGCGCGTGAAGAACCAACTCCACCGTGGTCATCGTCAACACCAACAGCATCACGTCTCTGGACGAACATTCCACCAGGCCTCATCTCCCACTCGATCTCATCGCTCTGCTTCGGCGGCGGGCCGCCACAGAAAATCGAGCTATTCATAATCAAAATTGGGCTCCGCCTGACACAGACAATTTAAAAGCTTAAAAATGGACTTCCAGATGTCGGGATGGCAGAAGTCCTATGAAGAGAAACGCTAGGGACGGAGCTTGACAAGGAATGGGGAAAGTTAGAAGAGAAAGGAGCTAGAATCGAAGAAGAGGGCGGTGAACTGGAGACAGAGATCGAAGGGGGACGCAATATCTATTTTTATAGAGAACGGTTGGTCGCCGTCATCAATTGGTCTCTTAAGGTTAACAAGGAGTAATAAGCTAAGTCAAATAGGTAAATTAAATGTTTTTAAATGCCCATCTCCACATTTACATCTATTTATTTTTGGCAAAAAAACATTTACGTCTATTTATTATATCTTATACTCCTCTGGTCCTATTTATAAAGCATTTTCAACACATTTCACATATACTAAGAAAAACCTTAAACTGTATTAACTCTTTGTTAAAATATAACAACTTTCTAACTTTACCCTTATTTAATATATTCATCTTTCAAAAAAAATAATTATCTACACTATAATAAATGAAAGACAATATAGTACATTCATGATAAAAATTTAATAAAATGACTTATAAATAGGACCAAAACAACCTTCTCTTTCTACTCTATAAATTGGACTAGAGGAGTACTTCCTTAATTCCTATTTATTTATCTGATTTAAATTTTTATTTTATCTTTAAATACTTCTATATGCTCTATTTTGAATTTTAAAATATAATTATTACTTGTTTTTAACAGTATCCTCATTAAATTGAGGGTATTATGATATTAAATGAGGCAAAACTGGGAAAAAATAATTCTGACATCATGCATGAATTTTGCTTTGTCAAAGATATGTGTTTTTTCTCTATGAGAACAAGTTAATAACGATACAGGAAGTAAATCTATTAATTATTATTTTTATTTTATTAATATATAAATATATACTCCGGCTTGGAGGCTTGCTAGAAGAATTTTTGGACAATTATATGGTTCAAGGTTTGTTTCTCGTGATTCTACAATTGGAAAATGAGAGAGAGAATTTGATTTGATAAGATCAGATGTGATGTTATTTTTTAGTCCCTTTATCATAGCATCTTGTCATGAGGCGTAGTGGGTTTGACAATTTCTATATCAGACTTCTGTGCTTGGAAAATTATACCCAAACCAGTGGATGCACGAGATTTTATTCAAGTTTAAACACAAGAAGATTCACTGTTTATTAAACTCTAGAGTTTCTACTTGTGCAAATAGACTTTTTATTGAAAGACTCAAAAATAATGATAATAATACTTTTCCTCCGATCCTTAATATATGATCTAATTATTGAATTGATTTTTGTTTTAAATATAAGACCTATTTCTCATATTTATCAATTTTTTCTAAATTACTCCAATAGATCTCCCTAAGCTATAATCAAGTAGAAAAAGGAGAGAGGATATTAAGGAAGATGATCATGATATTTTAAAAAAAAATATCATGTTTTTTATAATTAACTAACTTACCTAGCTTTCTTAATCTAATCAAATTAGTTAAATAGATATTATATTAAAAACCGGAAGAGTATTACATAACAATAAGTATAATTATGATTAAAATTGCACCTAAAAAATAACATGAGGTTAAAATTACATACTATAGGTAAATTTTACAAGGTAGCAAACTGTATTGTTCTTCTAATTTACTAAAGGCGTTGAATTTTAATTAAATTATAAATACTAATTAGATGCAATTCTTCATAATTTAATTACATAATTATATTATAAACAGGCATTTAACATAAGTATTATATTTTAATTAATGCCTAGATAAATCCATTTTAACACTAGATTGATTCAATCTATATACCCACAATGACCAATTGGAGAAAAGGAGGGGGGGGGACGTCTGGAACACAATGGCGCAGAATGCATGAGCAACGCTTGCCAAATTAACAAAACTCGATATGTTTAGCTTAACACGTTGAAAACATTTTTATATGATTAAGGCTCGCAAATACTTATGGGGTTTATATGCACATGACACAAAATACTTATCTTCCAACCACTTTCTTAATCTTATGCAATCCATTTAAATATAGGAGAGCGATTCCCCTCTACCAATTCACACAAAGTGCTTATTCTGTTTTCAACCTGTGCAGCCTCAGCTTTGGCCGCTGCTAAATTACGCTCCATGTTAGCAATCTCTTGGCTAAGATCTTCTGCCTTTGTGCACAGCGTCTTCAACTCAGAGCTGGCATTGTCTATTGCTAACCGAGCCTCCCAAGCCTCACTCACCTGCACGCGCATCTCATTAATGAAGCCACGATCAAAGCCAAAGCTCTCAAGCTCTCCAAGCACAACTTCAATCTCACTTATCTTCGGCTCGTCCAAGGTGCCGGCGGACGCCGTTGAAAGTAGTTGAAGGAGATTGGACAAAGAGCAAAACATCCAACCGATGAAGCTCTTCCTTCTATCAGACCTAACGACCATTAGGTTGGGATATTTGTTAAAGGCCATCTCCATTAGTTTGGTGGCTTTATCATCCAGTTCACACAGCACAGCTAGACCTTTTGCTACGTTTGTGGAGACAGTTGCAGAAGCTCCTGTAACGGCCGGGGAAGGTGAAATGAGCTGTAGGATCTCCCCAACATTGACGTACGTGTCTACCTCGAAAGAGTATTCAGAGGTTGAGGCACGGGCGGGAATTGATTGAATTCGTGAAAAGACAGAACTACCATTAGCCAGGGTCTCACCATTCCCTGTTTCCATCTGCCCAGGGAACTGGAAATCTGCACAAGCGTAAGAAAAGTACACTGTTAGCAGAAGCAAAATTCACCATGATACTTTAAACATGAACTTGCATACCTCTAGTAGTGGAAGAGATAATATGAAAGTCGGTGTGAGCAAGAGCCATGGGATCTTCCAGTTCACTAGCCCCTGAGGTAGCCCCTCTTTCAGTCCCCTCCTGAACTTGAGCACCCAAGTCTGGAGTGAGTGAAAAATGCCTTAGCATAAGAATGAAATAACGGAAACAAGAGTAGAAATTGCCTCTTTTTCAAATCTCAAGATGTGTGTGCGTGCGTGTGTGTGTGTGTGTGTAGAGAGAGAGAGAGAGAGATGCCAAAAAATTGAATTGTAGCAATTAAAATTCCTTGGGTACAAAATTTCATGTTATTTCAAGTACCACAATCGGCATTCGACTTTGTGAGTTGCCCAGTTAATTCATTGTTTTGCATATTAAGCTCTTCCCCAGTGCCTGTAACAGTCAAAATGTGGGTTTATGTTGGACTTGACTTACTTAAGCGTTTCCCTCTTCTCCTAAACAAAGCCTCACTAGCGCTTGGATCCTCAGCCTCATCTGGACCTCGAAGTTCAAACTCCCTGTTAAACTGCTCCAAATCTTGAACTAATTCTCCTGAAGTTGACATTGGGGATGGAGCATTCACGTTTCCTGTTCCAGAGTCAAATGTCTCTCCATTTCCATATGGGAATGCATTGGCATTGTTGCTAGAAGGCTTGGAGTTTATCTCCTTTAGAGAATCTAATTTATCAACAATGCTCTGCACTCGACATACCTGAAGCAGGGTGGTAGAACTGACGTTCAGGCTTTTGCAGTCAAGAAGTGTAACCCTAATGCTACACGAAAGCCTCAAGAAGAAATCTTGAAAAGTAATGTGATTTACCACAGGTAATTAAGATTAAAATTTTAAAAAAAATCAATCTCACAACCATTCACAATATTCTAAGCAAAAATGCATCCTGATATTCCATGCACATGGGATAAAGTAAATAAAATGATTATAAATTATCTAACAAAGAAGCCTACTGGGCTACTGGCTGTCCATGCATTTGAACACTCAACACGTCATAGCTACTTAACGGTGAATTAATGGCAAATTGATATCCGTTTAGCAGCATCTATTAGGGAAAGAAGGGTGAGCAGATGGGGGTCCACGGTAACACTTTATTTGGACAGAAAGCAGTAAAACATGATTACATGACAGATTCTGTGGAATCAGAAAGATGGATTTCATGAACGTCGAAAATTTTCACATGGTAGACAATTAGTAGTAACATCATATAGTGCCCTAAGGTGGTAAGTCTAAAACAGAAGGTAGATATATTGAAAGAAACCTTAATCCCCAAACTTAAAAGTGGAATAGAGAATGAAACTAAATTAAACCTGCGAAGAATTTCCAAACCAAAACTGTAGTTCCACAAATTAAAAATGAAAGCGAGTTGTGACTATTCAATTAGTACATAAAGCTTCACACTGAAAGAATAATAATTTTCAGGACCATTACATGAATTTTGTTACTATGTCAAACCTAAATAATATTAACTTAATACTGATATAATAGAAATAGATCCCTCACTTCAGTATAATCTTCCTGCAAGTGGTTCTTTGGTGAATAACTCAAAAAAGAAGACAGCTTAGGAAAGTTACTACCTCCGATCCTTAATATAAGACCTTGTTTGACTTTTATTTTGATCCTAAATATAAGATCCCAATTCACTTTGTCTCTCATATTTATGTTTTTCTTTTTCCCAAAATAGTCCTTCTAACAATGGTAGTTTTAGCCTATACACTAGATTAGTAAAGATATTTTAAGAAAGACAATACATATTTATTATAAATAACTAACTTAACTTCTTTCTTTAATCTTCTCAAATTAGTCAACTAGCTCTTATAATTAGGACCAGAGATAGTATTTTATAAATATGTAGAAGTTCACAAAGCTTAATCTGAGAGAAATGCAGTAGACAGAGCATTTCAAAGTCATTCAAGCAATAGCATTTTCATAATTGCGAATAATAATTAAAAATCCAACAATCCATCAAATAAAACATTGAAATTAATTAGCAATACAACAACGGCAAGCATTATCCCACCAAATGAAGTGAAATTAATTAAAAACAGAAGGGGGGGAAAAAGGAAAAGAAAAAAAACTAGAACAATGAAAGGAGAGGGGGAAAATACAATTTTAATTAATTTAAAAACCCGGCTCAAATGAGCCTTCCTGACTATACAAGTAAGAAAAATGTCTCCAATTTACTCTTCAAACAACCAACCAATTATCAATTCTATCACAAAGAAGAAGAAAACTTTGGCGGAGCATTGAAATCTTCCCATGGAGGAAAAAAGCAATGAATATCCATAATTAGAATTACTATCAACTTTGTTATTCGCAACATATTTGCACCATCATCAGAATTGATCTGAAAGAAGCCTTAAGTATGATGCGTCATCATGGAAATTACTTCATAGAAGAGATAGCATATGATCACTTATAGCTTTTTTTTCCCTAGACAACATTCTGCTTCATTATTTTAAACACTAATATCGACAGATGTCACTAATCATGGTCCATGACTTATAATTTGTCAACATAAGGATTGCATGAAAAAGGCATAAACAAGAGACAACACATTAGAATTTCAGATTAGACTTGACACCATGAATACTACCTCAGCTTTTCTCTGCAGCCTTGCTTCACCTTCAGCCTGAATAGTATCCAGTTTCAGCAACTGCCTCATAAGCAACTCAGACAAGGAGAGAAATTCATTCTCCGCAACATTGGTTCCACATTTTACAGCCACCTCTAAGGCAGTCATCTGCAAGGTTGAAATGAGACCAATGATCATTCTCTATATAACATGGTTTACTTACTCTAACCTAATATGCTTCTTCAGAAAGCAGTCAAATAGGAAGCAATGACTCACCCTCTCAGAGAGCTGGTCCACCTCAGCTCTAACTCCAGCAATAGCCTCACAAGCTTTCGACATGTCAAACTTTTTCCTGGTTTCCTCAAGTTTCCTCCCTTTGCTAGCAGCGTCTTCAAAAACAAATATTTCTGAACTGTCCTTTATGCCTTCCAAGTGCAAATGCTCTTCATCCTGCTTTTCTTCTCCTCGGAAGATGAGTATTTGCTCTTCAGGCTCTAATCCCGTTTTATATGCAAGCAGTCTCTTAACATCCCCTGTTATTGAAGATCTAATCAAGGCTAATACGTGTTAAAAAAAGAAAATAATATATTCAATATCTCAAGCTTCTTCTACCGCATATTCCTAGTTTCTAGATAGATTTTAGATAAAGAACATCGATATCATTTTGCAGGGTTTAACTTTAATATGCTCTAAAGAGGGAGAAATGTTATGGAAAGAAATCAGGCTAAATTACTCAACAACTACTTTAGTCATGAACTTTCAAGCCGTATCCCATGTATTTTGCATCCGATTCATCAACTTCAATACTATCAACATTTTCTGAAAATAGAAAATGTTCTCCAACTCAATATCCAAAATTAGCAACCTGAAACACATTTTAAAGATTCTTCACATTGAAATATAATTAAATGAACGTCTCCGACCAAAGTGCCTGGTGCCATTGTAACTATCATAATAAGTTCACTAACCAGCAAGTATATATGACCAGAAGATACGTATCAACCAAATAATAAATCCAATCCCAACTCCTGGAATTTTCATCATAAGTGTCCAATTTTTAGATAAAACCTAATAGCAGAGTCTCAGATGCTACCTTGCATTAGGATTCACCTGAACTAAAGGCGCAAAACAACAAAACTGCTGGTGAACTAATCAGATTCGGCCTCTCCTTCTTAATTTCCTCAATTTGGCTTATCAAACATATTTAGTGAACGAGTTAGATCAACATATTAATAAATTTATCAACTGAGTTTATACTCGAGCTCATTAAGTTCACAAAAACTTGGTTGGTAAAGACCGTAAAGTCTTTTTTCCCCCAATACTTTCTGTGTTTAAATATTATTTTAGTAAAGATCATAAATAAACATGAAAGTTTATGCATCTAAGTTGGATATATATATATATAGAGAGAGAGAGAGAGAGTACAAATTTATAGTTTGAAATTCTGTTTTCTGGTGCAGACTTTTTTTACACACACACGCACACAAGTATAAATTACATTCATGATTGTCAGCATAGCTTTCGGGATCAACTCCGTTAAAGGAACTAAAACTGATGGACATTGTTGGTTTGATAAAATCCGCGGGCTCAAAATTTGCCTCACTGGCTTTTTTTTGGCCAATCGCCTCACCATTTTTTAACTAAACGAGTATGATTATCATCAGCCTGGACTTGTTTGGTATAAAGCCATAACATAATGAAGTGAAACTCAGTAGCCAACCAAAGGTCGTTCCTGATAGGAGGAGGAAAAACTCACCGAAAGTAGATTCAGCAGGGAGAGAGACCTCGTGCTTTGAGGAACAATTGTGAGAGATGGTGATCTTGATAATGCGCCCAATAGTACTCAAAAGCCCCCTGGCTCTCGTCGGCGAGGCTTCGATCGGAATCAACTGAACTGTAACACATCAAGCTCGCGGTCTTCACGGATTTATAAGAGCTCAAGTAAGGTGGGGCTTAGGATTTCATCGGATTGCAATTTCGTTGGAAAAAAAAAATATAAAAAACATAACATAAATTGCTAATTCAATCAATTATAAAATTCGTTATTAGAATTTACAATAAATTAAACTGCAATAAAGAAATAGTAACGTCCAAATCCCGAATAATGATGGATTTAAATTTAGATTTTGTAGATTTTGTAGATCTGGTCAAAAATTTAGATTTGCACATTTTATTTCGTGGTTAATTTAGTCTCAAATTAATTTCCTTTTCAATTTTATTTATATTAATTGAGATTATAAAAAAAGATATATCAATCATCAATATATCAATATGCTATACTACTAAACCTCAGGTCAAAAAACTATAATAGAAGACTTAATTGGAGAATTCATGTTGGCACAAATATAAGATATATTTAATATTTTTATCAATTTTTTTTAAAATTAATCCTATTGATATTCTCTTAACAATGATCAAATAAGAAGGAGAGGAAGGGAATTAAGAAAGATAATAGAGTAGTTTAAAAAAATATCATATTAACTAATTTAACTGACATTCTTAACTTATTTAAATTAATTAATTAGGTTTCATTTTAAGAATTAGAGTATTAATTAGGAAAAATAGCAAAAAACAAAGGACCGTCAAAATAAAAAAAATTATAAATTGGGATCCATGACAATGTTACTGTAGGTTTTGATAATAATTTTTGTGAACAGGTTTCTATATATAATTTTTCTATCTTAACAGTCTTTTTTGTGATTTTTCTGGGGCCAGATTGAAAAAAAAAAAATTCTCGTGAAGAAACTGAAAAGACATATTTTTGGAAGCATGGGTGCAAAGCTCAAAAGCAGCCGAAGACCTGAGCACAACTGGACACGAAGACTAAGAAAGAACATCGAAATTACGCCCAGGTTGCTTTGATGCTTCAAAATTAATTAATAAATAAATGAAAAGCAAATTGTTATTTTATTCCTATTTCCCAGAAGCTGAGGCCGCCAAACTTTAATGAGAAGGCAAAAGGCTCAACTCAATTCGCGTCGCTTAATCATCACTTGCTCAAATGTATAAATACTTTACCGCTAAAGCAAAGATTAATTCTGGTAATAATTTTTATTTTAAGCGTGGGAGCCATAATTCATACTTCTCCGGTCCTAATTATAAGACCCAATTGACTTATTTGAGGAGATTAAGGAAGTAAGTTAAGTTGGTTATTTATAATAAATAAGTGTTGTTATTCCTAAAATATCCTTACTAATTAAATATATTGGCTAAAACTATCATTATTAGAAGTATTATCTTGGAAAAAATACATAAATATAAGAGAGAAAATGGATTGGGTCTTATAATTAGGACCAAATAAAAAGTCAAATTGGGTCTTATAATAAGGACCGGAGGAGTAGTATATAAGGTCTTTGGAGAGTGTGGCAATTTCCTACATTTGTGTTATTGGCTCTCCAGGCCTCACACAAACCACATTAAAATTTCAACCTATAAAATTTTAAAGGGTTAATTAATCTGCAAGTCTTTATAGTTTTAACGAATTTTGAATCAGGTCTCTATAGTTTTTTTTCTTTTTATTAGGTCCTTATACTTTTACCCTTTTTTAATTAGGTCCTTGTATTTATTTTTCTTTTAATTAAGTCTTTATAATTTCACTAAATTTTAATCAGGTACATGTAGTTTTAATTTTTATTTATTAATTAAATATAGCTTAATTAAATAGATTGATACTGAAATATAAAATTAATAATTAAATTAAATTAATAATTATGTAATAAAAAAGTAATAGAATTAATTAATTCAGGAAAATTTTTTAGAACAATTAATTTTTTTGCTGAAAAAATTAAAATCATTATAATAATTCAATATCTTTAGAATATTATTGTTATAAACTAATATTAAATAATATATACTACTTTATGTTTATATAATAGTACTATTAAAATTTATAAAATAAAGAATAAAAAATTCAGGGACTTAATTAAAAATAAGGTGAACTTATAAGGACTTGATAAAAAGAAAAATAAATACAAGGACCTAATTAAAAACAGGTGAAAGTATAAGGACCTGATAAAAAGAAAAAAAACTATAAGGACCTGATTCAAAATTAGTTGAAACTATAAGGAGCTGTGGATTAATTATCCCAATTTTAAAGGTTAAAGTAGACATTTAGTCTTTTAATTCTATGTAAGGTTTCATTTTGATCCTTTAACTTTAGAAAAAAAATGCTTTTAGTCTTTTAACACAAAAAATTGTTAGTTTTAAATGATAATTTTTTATAACGATCATGGTTGTTTTGAATATTAAACTTAATATGCTAGGATTTAGTAATATTTTATCAGTATTCAAAAACTCAATATTATCATTTTTTTGTTAACAATTTTAGAGTTAAAGAATTAAAAGTTTACTTTTTAAAGTTAAGGGATCAAAATGAAACCTTGTGTAAAGTTTAAGGACTAAAAGTATACTTTAACTAATTCCAAATTAAAACCTCTTCAACTAAAAGAGATCACCTCACAGGATCATGGTCTGATTTTTTTTTATACACAAGATCCTCATAAGAGGCAAGTGCAAGGCATATTTGAATCTTTGAGACAAACAGAATAAGCTTTCAGAAAAAGGGGAAAAAAAAAAAGAAGATTTAGAGAGATGTTATCCAAAATATACTTTTATTCATAATAAGGGATTACAATACTCAATGCCTCTTCAAGAGACCAGATGCACGTTTATATAGACTTTAAAGAACAAACTTAAACCATTACAAGCAATAATGCAACCCTACTCTAGAAAAATAAATATTCTTGACAAAGCAAAAGCTCATAGAGTGACAACTGAAAAAGCAAAAGCACACTTCACACCCATACTTATCATATGGCATAAAGTAATCACGTTTGTACTAAAAGCATATTCTTTATGAGTGAACCCTTTCTTGAAGATGGGTTCATCAGCGATTGGAAAAGTAGCTTATTGAAAAAGTAGCTTATGGAGAAGTGGAGTTTAGGATTTCATCGGATTGCAATTTCGTTGGGAAAAAAAAATAAAAAACATAACATAAATTGCTAATTCAATCAATTATAAAATTCGTTATTAGAATTTACAATAAATGAAACTGCAATAAAGAAATAGTAACGTCCAAATCCCGAATAATGATGGATTCAAATTTAGATTTTGTAGATTTTGTAGATCTGGTCAAAAATTTAGATTTGCACATTTTATTTCGTGGTTAATTTAGTCTCAAGTTAATTTCCTTTTCAATTTTATTTATATTAATTGAGATTATAAAAAAAGATATATCAATCATCAATATATCAATATGCTATACTACTAAACCTCAGGTCAAAAAACTATAATAGAAGACTTAATTGGAGAATTCATGTTGGCACAAATATAAGATATATTTAATATGTTTATCAATTTTTTAAAATTAATCTTATTGATATTCTCTCAACAATAATCAAATAAGAAGGAGAGGAAGGAAATTAAGAAAGATAATAGAGTAGTTTAAAAAAATATCATATTAACTAATTTAATTGACATTCTTAACTTTTTTAAATTAATTAATTAGGTTTCATTTTAAGAATTAGGGTATTAATTAGGAAAAATAGCAAAAAAAAAGGACCGTCAAAATAAAAAAAATTATAAATTGGGATCCATGACAATGTTACTGTAGGTTTTGATAATAATTTTTGTGAACAAGTCTCTATATATAATTTTTCTATTTTAACAGTCTTGATTTTTCTGGGGCAAGATTGAAAAAAAAAAAATCTCGTGAAGAAACTGAAAAGACATATTTTTGGAAGCATGGGTGCAAAGTTCACAAAAGCAGCCGAAGACTTGAGCACAACTGGACACGAAGACAAAGAAAGAACATCGAAATTACGTCCAGGTTGCTTTGATGCTTCAAAATTAATTATTAATTAATAAATAAATGGAAAGCAAATTGTTATTTTATTCCTATTTCCTAGAAGCTGAGGCCACCAAACTTTAATGAGAAGGCAAAAGGCTCAACTCAATTCGCGTCGCTTAATCATCACTTGCTCAACTGTATAAACACTTTACTGCTAAAGCGAAGATTAATTCTGGTAATAATTTTTATTTTAAGCGTGGGAGCCATAATTCATAGTATATAAGGTCTTTGGAGAGTGTGGCAATTTCCTACATTTGTGTTATTGGCTCTCCAGACCTCACACAAACCACATTAAAATTTCAACCTATAAAATTTTAAAGGTTAAAGTGTACATTTAGTCTTTTAATTTTATGTAAGGTTTCATTTTGATCCCTTAACTTTAAAAAAAAATGCTTTTAGTCCTTTAACATAAAAAATTGTTAGTTTTAAATGATAATTTTTTATAACGATCATGGGTGTTTTGAATATTAACTTAATATGTTAGGATTTAATAATATTTTATCAGTATTCAAAAGCTTAATATTATCATTTTTTGTTAACAATTTTAGGTTAAAAAATTAAAAGTTTACTTTTTAAAGTTAAGAGATCAAATGAAACCTTGTGTAAAGTATTAGGACTAAAAGTATACTTTAACTAATTTCAAATTAAAACCTCTTCAACTAAAAGAGATCACCTCACAGGATCATGGTCTGATTTTTTTTTTTTATACACAGGATCCTCATAACAGGCAAGTGCAGGGCATATTTGAATCTTCGAGACAGATAGAATAAGCTTTCAGAAAAAGGAAAAGAAAAAAGAAGGTTTAGAGAGATGTTATCCAAAATATACTTTCATTCATGATAAGGGATTACAATACTCAATGCCTCTTCAAGAGACCAGATGCTCGTTTATATAGACTTTAGAGAACAAACTTAAACCATTACAAGCAATAATACGACCCTACTTTAGAAAAATAAATATTCTTGACAAAGCAAAAACTCACAGAGTGACAACTGAAAAAGCAAAAGCACACTTCACATCCATACTTATCATATGGCATAAAGTAATCATGTTTGTACTAAAAGCATATTCCTTATGAGTGAACCCTTTCTTGAAGATGGGTTCATGACTTAGAGATGAATTCATGTTATGGTCATCTTCAGAATCATAATTATTACAGGGGACATAATCTATTCTTTATATGATTCATAAGGATCCTAGGAAAGTGGTCCACCCCATTGAGTAGGGGATGACAACTACACATCTGGAACCTGTTAAAGTGGTAATTCTAGTTGAAAAAGTTGGAGGCCTTCTAGTTGGGTTAGTTGGAAGGGTTGTGAGTCCATATGGTTCAGATCTTGAGATTCTCTTGTGAGAACTAGAAGTGTGATGGCTTGTAAGATAAAATTTCTTTGGAATTCTTGGAATGTGAGAGCTGATGAACTTGCAGCAAACTATTGAGGGGAATTGGGAGAACTGGGAGAAAGAGGTCCAAAAGAGAGACATGTAGAATCTTCACCAGTATCTGGCTCATTAAATGTAGTTAAAATTTGCCTTTATTTCTTCATTATCTTACTCTCATATTTAAGTCATAGAACAAAAGTGTTTTAGAAATTCAGACAGTTGTCTAGGAAAAGACTTCCATCAGTGTCTCTTTCATAATACTTGAAAAAAGTGACAAAATAGAAAAACTTTTGTTGCTTTGATGTTGGTGAATTTCACACATTATACTCATTTAGAAGATTAGAGTTTTCATCTCCAGTAGGATAAAGCAGCAAACATTTGGAAAAAGGTAACAAGATAGGAATTCTAGTTCCTAGAATCACAGAGGTAATGGTACATAGGTAAGGCTGAGAAGGCTATGGCACATATATGAATAGTTAAAAGATCCCAGAGATACCATAATAGTTTCTCTAGAATGGGTCCTTTAATGATGGGATGGTAAGATAAGGAGTGTTTAGATCAATGTGCTGGGGATAAGGGTGGATTTAGGTGTTGACAAACAGAAGATTGAGCCAGTAAAACAAAATTCCTTTTGGTGAGGCTATGAATATCAGTAGGCGTTTCAGGTCATGATCCTAGAGGGAAAATAGTAATTTTGACTCTATAAGGCATTTTTAGATAGGGTTCAAGGACGGGTCACGAGGAGAATACTGAGGGCTTTTTCTAAGTGTGAGAAGTTCATGGTCTAGAAAGATAATTACCAAGTGTGTTGTGGTGGCCCTTAAGGTGTCTTACTATGAATTTACAACAGGAGAACCAATCTTTCCACCTAAGCAGCTACGCGTCTAGGAGTGTTTTCATTTTTGTTTCAAGCATAGAAAGAAATAAAGTATTATGCATTTCAATAGTAAAATTGAAAGAACTAATATGAAAATTGAATTTTTCAATTCCCTTTACATCCAAAAATTTAAATGTATTAACTAGTGAAAATTAAATACTACTTTGATTTTTAATATAAGAACTATTTGATATTTAATTTGATTCTAAATATAAGACCATAATTTACTTTGTCTCTCATTTTTTTAAATTTTTTTCAAAGTAGTCATTATAGTAGTTGGATATATTAGAGATTTCATTAAATAATGGTTCTAGCTGATACACATAATTGGTAAGAATATTTTAGGAAAGATAACATATATTTATTATAAATAGCTAACTTAACAAACTTTCTTAATCTACTAAAATTAGTCAATTAAACTCCTAATAATCTTATGTTAAGTAGGGCTATGCAAAAATCCAATGATCCAACTAACCCAGTCTAATATGATGAATGCATGGTCCAATCCAACTCGAACAAAACAATTCAAACAAAAAATCAAACCAAATCAGACCAAACTAACCATCGGATCAGATCGGGTTTTAGGCTAACTCTATAAACCCGATCATCATGTTTGATCTGACCCATACTTCAAACAATTTATAAAATATATATTTTTATGTTACCTAAATCTATTTTTTCTCATTTTTTCCTTCTCCATGTGACTCCCTCTCTCTCCTCTATTATTGTCCTTTTCCTTCTTTTTTCTCTTTTCTCTTTCCTTTTTTCCCATGCACCTCTTTCTTTCTCCTCTATGATTTTCCTTTTCTCTCTTTTTTCCTTTTTCCCGCGTGCCTCCTTCTTCCCTCCTTCATCATCTTTCTTTTACTACCTTAGCCTCCTCTTTTGTCCTCCACGATGGCTCCATCACTTTTCTTTAAGCTTCTTTTCTCTCCTTTAGTCACAACCCCTTACATCCAGCATTTTTTGTTTTTGACAAGTGAGAAGAAGAAAACCTAGAAGTTGCTCATCTTACTAGCTTTATCTTGCTCCAACTAGGGGTGCACATGCGCAGGGCTAGGCAGGGCAGGACCCTTGCTCGATGCCCGGCCCGAAATATGAACGAGCTGCATTTTGCAGCCCGCTGCCCGGCCCTACCCATAGAAGCCCTAACCATTTTGGACTGGGCATGGGCGGGCTGGGCTGGGCGGGCTTCGTTGCCCAAATAGTGATGACCTGTCAATATCACATGTAAAAAAACTTTCGTCCATAACTGAAAATTACATTTCATAAGTTTACATTTTCGCACATTGAAATTATCCAGAAATAATTTAAAACAAGTCTTAGCAAATATCTAAATAAATAATATTCATAATCCATTTAGAACAAAACAACTCTCAAGATTGTAATTAAAGCCTTGAAATTCAAACGGTTTGCGTCAATCTCCGTAAAGTTGAGAAAAGAATAAAACATTTGAAAAAATTAAAGAGGGGTTGAAGTACATTGAGATATTCCATTGAGGGTTAGAGATGGCGATGTAATAGAAGCTTGATTATCCATTCAAGTGGCAAAAATTAAATGTTACCTAAAGGATTGTAAAAAGATATTAAAATTGAAGCAATGGGTTAAAAGGAATAATATAGACCATATAAAAATATGGGGAAATAATTGTAAAAAGATAAATAAAAAAATCTTAAAATCTTATAATAATTTAATATAACCATTTTTAATATGCAAACACTTATTATGTGATACAATGCAGTTAGTAGTCCATATAACTAAAAGACTTCTTTCCATCATATGATTTGTTCATAAAAAATTAATACAAAATAACTAAATATAAATTAAATAAAAAATAAAACATATAATTCAGATAATTAAACCCTAATTTTCTTTCTCTGCTCCTACCCCAATCTTGTTTTCTATCTTGTATAAATATTCAAAATTGTTGATTTATACACATATGTAATGTATGAACTCCATTCTCTAACAAAGAAAGTTGTTAATGGCATATAAGGGAAGACGGGCTTATAAATAGCTAACATTACAACAGCAACACACAATAGGATATACTCAATAAAGCTCATGAAGAACAAGTTAAAACCAAGATACTATTGCTTTTTTAGAAAAATTAGACCCCTAAGATGGAAAACCAACAGACATGTAACAATAATAAATTAAATTGCAAAGAGGAGGGAATAACTTTTTTTTGGGATAAAGAAATGTAATATATTAATATTATTTTATAAATTATAATATACATAAATATAATATGGGCAGGGCCAAATGGATAGGGCAGCATGTCCTGCCCGATGCCCAGCCCTGCCCATGAAATGCCCAGTCCAAAGATGCCCATTCTTTTTCGGGCTCCTTTTTTTTGGACTGGGCAGGGCAATTTTTCTTCGGGCTTGGGCGGGTTTAATGGGCATTTGGGCTTCATGCATACCCCTAACTCCAACCAAGCCTTCATTTGCAAAATAAATTATTGACAACACTTGTAAAAATAATGAAAACATTATTCAAGTCATGTCCAAAAATATTATTCTTAAGAGTTATTCTGTTACACAAGATTAGAATAAAAAGCGGCCAGGATTAAATAAATCCTTTCTACATAAAGTAGGGTGACTAAATAACAAAAATTTAGAACTCAAGAGAAGAGAGAGAGGAGGAGAGCTTGGGGAGAGAACTCAACTCTATATGACCATGCACCATGCACTACCTTTTATAGGCAGATAATATATAACCATTGGGTTGTCATGATAGTGATTAAAAACAGTTTTAATGCCTATTAAAAAGGCAGTTTTTAGACGATTAATTAATTAAGGTGAATTAGAAAATGGGATAAAGGTCATTTTTGTCCCAAAAGTTTTCACAAAAGAACACTAGGCATCAGAAAGTTTTTTTTGGAGTAATGTTGCCCCAGAAGTAGTAAAAACATAGCAATGTAACCCTTTGTTAACAAACCCTAATAGTCAACCGTTAGTTGACCTAAATATGTTGATATGGCTTGCCATGTGGGATATTATGCCACCTATTATTCCATGTAATATGTAATGTCACCATCATCCTTCTTGCTCTGTTGAAACTTTGTTCCCTATCTAGCCCAAAATTGCAGCTAGCTAGAGATGATAATCACGAACCCCAATAAATCTTTCTACTCCAATGATTTGATTCTCAAATCCCAAAATCTAAAAAAAAAATAACGGAAGAAAAAATAAAATAACTTGTGCAAATAGAACCAGTCAAAAAGAACCAGTAAGCTAATGAAGATTGAGTAAGAATTCAATTTTTTGCTCTCTCTCAAATCCAACCCACTCTTATCAACAAAATCAAAACAGGTAGAATAATAAATTATGTCTGAAATTTGAAAAAAGAAAAAAAAAGCCCCCAAAATAAGAGAATACCCAAATTTAAAGGGATGATGATGAACACGATCTAAGGATGACAACATTATAAACCACATGACTAAGAGACACAAGTAGCAGAAGATGAGGATAAAGAAGCCAATCAGGAGTTAAATTTTTTTTTTTTTTTGATACACCAAGACAAAAGACACATAACACTAATCAGGATCTACTTCCACAAGTTCCCTGAGCAAATCTAGTGCCAACACCTGTAATTCCGTAATATCGTTCATGAATTAGAGTCACAATCCCATTTAATCACATACCTATGAAACCTATGAAGTTATTGAACCTCAAATCGTGATCTACTCTTCTCCCAGTCACACGAATGTAGAAACTGGTTTGCGCGAACATCTTGTCTTTGCCCAAGAACTCAAAGTCTCAATGAAGATGAACTCGGTGGAGGAGGTTCACCGGAGTCAATGATGATAAAGATGAGGGCAATGACGAAGTGGAGAATGTGAGAGAAAAAGAGATAAAGTGGCATACCTAAAGTGAAAGAGAGAACAAGAGAGGGGAGAAGCCTGAGAGTTTCATCGACCGACGAGGGAGAGATCATCATATTAACGTCCACTGATAGCGCCGTGGGTGGTGTGGACGGCGCCATGGGTGGTGGGGATGGCATTGCGGGTGGTGGAGGGGGCGTCGAAGGTGGTGGGGACGATGCACGGCTGGTGGGGACGGTAACCCGAGTGGAGGGGATGTCACAGGTAGTGGGGATGGAGGTGCCGCAGTGGATAAAGAATTGATGCTTTGAAGAATCAAGGTCATTCTCTCAATTGTTCCTAGATGCTTTTCATATCCTTTTTATTTTAATTGTAATGATTTGGCATCCTATGTGGAATAACACGTGCCATAATATCTTATGTGGCAGATCCGTATCAGCATAGTTTGGTCAACTAACAGTTGACTGTTAGGGTTTGTTAACAGAGGGTGACGTTGTTATGTTTTTACTACTTTTGGAACAATATTGCTCTAAAAAAAAAAACTTCCTAATATCCAGTGCTCTTTTGTGAAAACTTACAGGGCAAAAATGACTTTTAATCCCTAAAACATTTTAAGGCCATTAAACTTAGTTAATAAAGAAATAAAAGCGACTAATTAAAGCACATAAATGCTTAGACAGTCATCTCAAATGGTCAATTCTAAAAACTCCTTTTTACCATTTTATTAGCTCAAGTATACATTTTAGTAAACACTAAGGTCCTTTTTGTTAGGAAATATTAAAAATTAGGAATAGGAATTGGAATTGAGATTGAGAAAATCTATTAAAAGAGTGTTTAGCATAAAAGATTACTTGATATATAAGATTAGCCAAACCTACGTACATGGTATTAGGAAATACCAAGGAGAGAAATAGTATTCCTCAATCCCACCTCTATGAGTTTGCCTAATCCCATATAACAAGCAATTACTCATACTGAATATTATTACAATTATTTTTCTCAATTACAATCTTAATCTCTATTCCTTATTTTTAATGCTTCCTACCAAATGAGACCTAAGGTTTTCTCAATCTTTAATATGGGACCTTTTTTGACACACTCATATGCTAAGACTCCAACATAAATCAGCACCGCCACCGTCCTCTATAGCGTCACCCTTGTCTGTAATGTCCAACAAAGTTGCCAACTTGCCGTCCTCTCTACTTCTCCCCCATTTATGTTGTTTAATTTCCTTTTTTTTTTCCCTCTCTAATTCTTCTATATAATTGCTGCAGTTATCTTTTTGCATAAATGAGATTAATTGAGGCCTGAGTTCGAGATTATTGTGTTCATGTTGTAGAAAGTTAAATCAGGTTGAAATCTTGGCTCTGGTGGGGGGGAGAACTTGGCTCTGATAGAAGGGGGAAAAAAAGAAATTGAGATCTAGATTGTCTTACCGAATCAAGTCTGGTCCAACTTGACCTTGGGTTTATGCTAGACCAAACCAAATCACTGGTTGATTTGTTCAGCTCGATGCCTTAACTAGACCCGATATCGGATTGATGCCAAACCCGGTATAGTCTGGTCCATACACAGATTAAGGATTAAGGACCAGAGGTAGTATATGAAACATCACCACTTAAAGATGAGGTTTCAAATTCAAGAACATTAGAATGATGGTGATATTACTATATACTTCTCTAATCTCATTTATAAGGAACTTCCAACATATTTCACACATACCAAAAAAAACCTTAAACTTCATTAACTCTCATTTAAAATTTAATAACTTTCTAACTTTATTTCTATTTAATCTACATTATACTTCATGTAGACAAAGTCAACATAATAATAAATAGGGGCTAAAATTATATACCCATGCAAAAAATTTCTCTTAATGCCCTCTAAATAGGACCAAAAAATGTCTTCTCTCTTTATCCTATAAATAAGACCAAAAGAGTATACACACACATACATATACATGTTCTTCATGCGCTGCAAAGAGAGAGTGCTAAATATAATTGCTTGCATACATACGTACATGGATATGTACGCATGTGACATACAGTAGTTAATATTAGAGTTATTAATGAAGATCATCATCCGAAAGTACCTATCATTACGGCTTCTCCAACAACGTGGCCTGCTATTGCTTCCAGCAGCTTCTCCTTCGTCACCTGCAAAATATTCAACTATTCATTAATTGGTCTTGTCTATTTCAAAGAGTTTGAACTCGAACCTATCTCCATAATTAGGCATCTTAGGTCCACTCCACAGCTTCACTTTCCAGTCATTAAGCCCTTCTTCAATTCCACTGTACTCATCGTCCAATGCCTCTACCTCGCCAGAGAACTAGCCCTACCGGCAGCCCTTTCAGTGAGGCCGGGATGTTCACCACCACCCACTGAGTCACCGGAACGAGGCGGCCTGTTGGGTCGACGGCGTCGATGTCCTGCGTCAGAAGGGCCAAGCCCTTGGGTTGATTCCAGTGGCGGAGATATGTTCCACTTGGTCTCTGCGCCTTCTTGTGTACAGTATCTTGGTAATCTTCCTTCTTTTTGCATTGCAGGTGGCTTGCCATTTTAGGGCAAGATAGATCGTTGTGTGCTCTTTTGGTTTGAAGATCATACCTATGATTAACTCGGAGGAAGACGATCGAACTGTGTTTGTTATATACAGAGGTGCTGGTAACGTGTGTCATTGTAGTGTGCAAAGACGAGAGTCCGCTTTTGACACCCACCACAAGTCACAACACTTGTAAGGTGATGGTTTCTTTCTGTTAGTTTATTATAAACAAAGTCTTCCAAGCTATATATCACGAAACCTGAGCAACAATAAAAATAAAATAACTTTGTTTCGCGGATGATACTTCTCTGATCCTTAATATAAGACCTAATTAACTAATTTAAGTAAATTAAGAATATTAATTTAATTAATTAATATGATATGTTTTTTTTAAAACACTATAATCATTTTTTTTAATTCTCTCATTTTCTCTTGTACTCGATTAATAGAGTGAATTTTAAACAAATGATTAAAAATATAAAATAGATCTTACATATATGACTAATATCAACTCTCAGATTAAGTCTTATATCCTATATTAAGGATGAGGAGTACTCTACTTTATAATTTTGCCCTACACATTTTTCTCGTTAAGTTAGTAGCTAGAAGAGACACTCTAAATTTAACCACTTGGATCTTTGTTGTGCATCAAAAGTTAGGTAAGCATTAGCTTTATGACGTTTATTAATAATATCAGTTGGGAATGAAAATTTCTTCTGGTAAAAAGGTAGAAGTAGGGCTTGAATCAAGGTGATTTTACACCTTATAGTTAGAAAATGAGGTGAGGAAGAGCAGAGAAGAACTTGATGGGGTGTTTTGGCACAATGAGAAACATGCATGAGCATGACGAGGGACTAAAAAGAAAGGGGGGTGTTGGATGGATTAGGTCTAATATATATGCAGCTAATAATCTAACATATCCATCTCCCATCATCGATCACACACGTCATGGGATTTAATTAAAGTGATACACTTGAAACTTTTAATGTATAAACGCACTCGATCGATAATAAATGAGTCTTCCAAAACATTATTAATATGTAAGCTTGGAAATTCATCTTACAATAACTCAACTATATTAAATGGTAGCTTATCTATTTTTTCAAATTTTAAAATGATTTGTGTGTAGGATAAGAAAAAATTTTTAGTTTGTATGAGGTTATTCCTGCATTTGTGTGTTTTTTCTTTTTCCGTGACTGACACATCCCAACAGAAATTCAAAATCGGCTCAGTACTGTTACAGGAAATTAACTCTTTTCCTTTCTCCAACGCTGCAAAACTCAAAATTCCGCTAATAATGAAAGCAGCTTCTTGGTCTCTTTCTTGTTTTGGGCCTTGAGTCCCATTGGTGTGAGAAAGAAAGGCCCAGTAACACGCATGGCATGATCACAAAACTTTTAATTTGTTAATTAATGACATGAAATTTAGCTGACACAATTTTATTAATTTTAAAATTTTCAAGAGTCTTACAGCAGAATTATTTGTTAGCTTTTGCGAATAACCATCCATTCCTATTGATTATTTTTCTATTTTACTAGCATATTGGATATGCAACAATATTATCCTTCAAACCTTTTCCCCTTTCCTGAATAACCGCTCACATTCTTTACGCACATAAATATTCCCTCCGTCTTTATAAAATCTTTTAAAAAAATATTAAAATTAATTAAAAATAATAAATATATTTTTTTCCCAAAATATGTCTTTATTCATAAATAGATAAGTATGAGTGAGGAAAAAAATAGAATAAATTGTATAAAAATAATAATAAAAGAGAGTATATTAATTAAATATAAAGCGAGTAAAATATATTTACTCTTTAAGCAAACTTTAAGAAAAAACAGTAAACTTAAAAAAAACTTATAAATAAGTTCAAAAAATAAAACCTTCTAATAAGAAACGGAAGAGTATGTCATTCTTAAACTCAAAATCAAATAACAAACCCTATATCCCGCTGTACTCTGTACTTTTTAAAAATATAAATAAGGATAAACCGATTCAAAAAATAAACTCAAAGAATATATTTTTCCTAAACTTAAAATCGAATAAACCCTATATCACGCTATACTCTCTAAAAATAAATTATTTACATAAATATAAAATTTATAAGAGAGTCAATCTCAAATTTAAAATTTCACGAAATTACCTACACCCGAGCTAAAATTCAGGAAAAATATTTTAACCAAAAAAAATTATTTTCCATCCTTTCGTTTGTAAATATATCTTTTTAATGTTTATTTAAAAAAACCTTACATACTAATTTTTTTTTTTGGGTAGAGATCTCATTACATAACCAGATTTGCTGCATTATTAATCTATAGCAATAATAAGCTACTTCCACTTCTCTGTTGGGGTATCAGTACTAAAATACTATTAACTCATCAACAAAGAAGAAATTAACTTCTAAAATAATCTAAACGGAGAAGGTTAGGGTTTAATAACTATATGTAATATGCAATGATGTCACATTTCAAAATCAGTACAAAGTAAAAACTGATGATTAAGGACACCGCACATCCAACACTCTTGAATTTTTTACAATGAGAAAGCTCAGAATTTAGCCATCAACACCGCTTCCCCTAGCACATGCCCTTCTATTGCCTCCATAAGCTTGTCCTTCGTTACCTATCACATCCAGTCACAGAAATCAAATCCCAGAGCTTGTGATTTCTTACAGAATCATGCATGCAGAAACAATCACAAGAAGATTTTGATCAAGAACAAGTAATTTTATGCATGGACATATAATTTTATTCTAATACCTTGTTGCCGAGATGAAGCTCATCGTCCAAAGCGTAAAGCCTGAACTCGAACCTATGTCCGTGATTAGGCAATCTGGGGCCACGCCACCCAGGGATCTTCCAATCATTATTGCCTTCTTTGATGCCAGCATACTCTCCACCGGCCTCCTCCTCCTTGCCGGAGAATCCCTCCGGGAGTCCCTTCACCGTCCGCGGGATATTCACCACCACCCAGTGCACCCAGGGCACGATCGGCCCTTCCGGATCCGGAGCATCTATATCCTCCACCGCCAGAGCCAGGGTTTTGGTGCCCTCCGGGACGTTGTACCACTCCAACGGTGGCGACACGTTCTTCTTAGCTCCTTGTCCTTCGTCGGTGTAATGCCTCGGGATCTTGCCTTCGTTGCTTATTGTCGGAGACACCAGCCTGAACTCCTCGCTTCCGTCGCTCGCCATTGGTTCGCCGATCGGGTTAGTTCTCAACGGATTGTTGTTCGGAGATTGCGAGCGCGCGAGTTTGTTTATATGTAGGAGCGGGATTTTCGGGAGCGTGTGACACTTGGCGGCGAGGAATGCCTCGTGGCGTCCAGAAGAGACGTGGTGTGGCACGTGGAAGACAGAGGAAGGTTGTAGACAATTTTGAAGGATCGAGACTTCTGCTTTTTTTTTTTTTGGAAAAAAAAAAAGTTTTTCGGGGGCATTAAGTAGTTCTTGGGCTGCGATCCTGTGCTGCACGTCTATATTACAGTACTGAGAATGTCCAGACTTCAGACTTGAAGGATCATCAATATCAATATCATCATTAATATCAATATATATATAAAGGTTAATATAAATTTTAGTCT